GAATTGGCTAAAATATCGCGTCGTGAAGGTATACCAAGCAAACGTCGACCTAGCTTCCGGTGGTCTACAGAATAGGTCCTGGCAGCAGCTCGAGGTAAATTTGGGTCTTTTTGTATAGTTTGGATAGCTAAGACTAAACGACTTTCGTCATTTTTCAGAGGCATCCTTCGTTGTAGAGAAATTTAATATTTCGTGGAGGTGTGGTGGGGTCGCCGGGTTTTGGCCGGTTCGCTTGTTTGGCCGGTTCGCTATACATGCACGTTATATATAATTTTCTTAATAATAATTATAAAATTAATTAATTTAAGTAAATTTTACACGTATATTATATATACGCTACTGTGAGGGTTGGAACCCATGATGGAGGCTCGGGCCATGCCCTCGCTAAGCGCTGACCAAAGTCCCCGCTTAGCACTGGCCATTACCCCACCGCCAAACAGGTTTCCACCATTCCACACTTTCTTGTTTTGTTCTTCTGACATCATGTATTCGTTATTCAAGTTTCTTGCAAGTTTCTTGGAATATTCAGGAAGCTCTTCCTCTCTCTATATATAGAGGAAGAGCTCGCATGTATGTAGTCTTCACGCACTTCTTAATTCAATATTCGAAACCACACCTTTGAGCTGTTCAAGGTCTGGCCTCTCACAGCTACCCTTATATTGTACCTAGGTAGGTTATTATACGCGTTCTATCCTACGAGCGTATAGCTAGTAGGTAGGTAGGTAAGTAAGTAGATAAGTAAAAAAGAAAGATGTAAAATAAAAGTATTTCGAGTCTTAGTATAACCTCCTAGCAATTCTAGAACGCTCCTAGGATAGCTATAGAACGTTCCTAAGACGGTTATATATACGATTATATTTAGCTAATACTGTAGTTAGTAGGTATAGTTATATTTTATTAATATTATTACTAGTAAATATAATTAACTTATATTATTTCATAAAATAATAATCTTAAATTTAAAAGAGTACTTAGATAGATCTCTAACGGTTATAAATTTATAATAGTTTTATATCTAGTAATGATTCTAGGATTGTCTAGCTACGGTTACTAAGGACCCCCCTTTCCTACAAGGTAGCTAGTCGAGACGAGAGCCGAGTCTCTACGCTTGTCACAGGACATCCCGGGCTGTACAGATTCACGTGACCTCACTTGCAATACTTCTATTTTTATTTCTTTAATGTTTATTGATTCAAGTCGTATGTAGAATTAAATCGTGTACGTGAAAAGTCCCCCCTTCCCACTTCCCACTTCCCATCCTAACATGTCCCAAGCCCAAGCAACCCAAGCCATCCCATCCTACCCGTCTATGTGCCGAGCTTCTTTTGCCACTGTGGCTCACTGCACTTGGTGTAGGTGTATCCATCGACCACTGTCGCACCCGTAGTGCAGGCGTTGTAAGTTTGCGAATCGTACTTGGTGCACAAATCGGTGGCGCCGATTCGGGTTGGGGCTCCAGGTGGGCAAGGTGGTAAAGTCTTCCTCGCAACGAGGTTTGGTGCAGCTTGGGCGAGCCCAATGAGGAGGATGGCAGTAGCCGCGACGTTGAAGTGCATTTTGAAGGTTCTTGGAATGTGAGATCGAGAGAGATGGATTGTATTCTTGAGGCTCGACGAGGCTCGAGTAGAAAGAAGCGATGTGAAGATGTGGATGAAGAAGAAGATCGATTTCTACCGATGTCTATCGCTATTCTTATACCTGAGAGTCGGAGACCGAAGAACCGACATTAAACATGGATATCTAGCTAATCCTAATACAAAGACTGGTATAATTTAGTTTCTTTACAAAACTTACCTATACTTAGATTGCGATGTGAAACAAACGCAACATAAAACGAGTACGAGTTTTAACGTTAATTTCGGGTTGTGGTACGTCATTTACAAGGAGTATCGCTAATAATAATAGCTTGGTACATCTCGCTTCTGACTTGGTATAACGACACGTAGGATGTGTTGTTCGCGCATGCGCGAACGCCCAAGGTATATGGGTAGGTTATGAAACCGTATAACTATCTTATTCGAAGAGTTCAAGCTTAAGACAAGACGTGACTACACGTAACAGTCTAAACTATGACAGTACCCTCCCTTCCCCCCTCCCTACCTTTTGAAAATGAGGCTTATAGGAGCCTCTATACTATCGTCTGAATCTTCGTATAAATCTAACCCGTCCTTAAGCCTTAATCTAATTACCTATACAAGTAATATAGAGGACCTACCTAGGTAGTTATAGACGATATTTTGAATAAAATTTAGCTTATTTAGGGAATCCTGTAGTAACTGAGACAACCTCTTGGTAAAATAGTAGAATTAATAATAATAAGGTTCTATTCATCCTGAAAATTTGCCATCAATTTAAACGCCACACATGCTTTGTATCCTACAAGCACCATCATACCCCCGAACAGAAAACTCTCTAGTCCTTGGGCAAATATCTAATCCCTCTTCTCGGGCATCTCAGACCCTTCCCAACCGGATCCGTAGGAACAAACTCGCCACTCTGCAAGCTCCCCTTGACATTAAACGAATACCACGCTTGATCAAGTCTATTCCCCTTACACCCCAGCGTAACCTCACTCCCAGTAACACTCCTCAACGCCTCCTCGATATCCTCCAAATCATACCTCTCCGTCCAACTCGGCGTGATACCCGCCGCTGCAAGCGCTTTATAACTATCCAACCCCTTGAACAATTCGACTGCTCGGGTGAAGAAATCCACAATTTCATCGCCGGTTGAGAAAGTCTCGCCGTAGCACTTTGCGGACAGCGTGTTGATGCAGGTTCCGTGTTTGTTCCACTCGTGCTGCCAGAAGTGCTCGAGGGTGCCCCGGTTGGGCTGCCAGTAGGTTTCCATGTATTCTAGTAGGTCGGGAGCTCGGGCGGAGAGGAGGGGTGTTATGGCGTGGGATTGAGGGGCGAATTTGCAGTATGTTGGGTAGGAACCATCGCAGAGATCGGGCCTGGGCGTGTTAGTATAATGTTTTGATCGAAAAGCTTGGAGGTAACGATGCGAGGAGGAGAGGTGGCACATACCATAGACCGTGCAATGTCCATGAATCAACAGGACCAATAGTTGGGTTGGTATCCCAAAACTGAGTTAAGAGAAGCTGCCCACCGGGATAGATAAAGCAACAAGAATCTGGAGCTGCAGTACTGTTATGGCATGACAATGGCGAGTCTGCTGGACATGTTGGTCCGTTTGTGAGAGGAGGGTTGTATGTTGGGGCTGCGGGATTGAATGATCCGAGGGGGAGTTGTGATATCAGGTTACTAGCAAAGCTGAAGAGGGATGGAATCGATGGCATTCTCGAGATTCGGACGGTTGTTACCGGTTAATATCCAGGTGCGGGAGCCGTTATTTCTTCAACGGCTGAGCTACTTATATGTGTTGTTCAGGGAGATACTAGGGAGGCCTATTACTCGTGGCAACCTAGATGGGAATGGACGAGTCAAGTGATAAGTGATGTGGAGTCATCCGAGGCCGAGGTCAACTCCAGCTTGAAGCTCTTATCTGACTGCAGACGCACGGTGCGTTTAAGGGACCGTGTGAAGCCCCGAAGTCGTTCCTGCGTGCGATTGCGGGGACCTTGATAGCGGTGTGGAAGTGGCTAAGAAAAGTGGCAGAGAACAATACGGATCTCCAACACCTTTCTTGTTCACTAGAAGCTTTGTGTTGTACCAACTTCCTGTATAATTCATTGTGACTCTAATCCTCTCCCTTATCAAATTTTTCTTAGTGTTCCAAGACACCAAAGCGACCATTTGAGAAACAATTGAAATTAATCAATCATAATAACACAAGTGAACTGGGAAGAGGAATTGAGAGGGAAGGGAAAGGGAAAGGGAGCATCTGTTTACTGCGACCTCTTTGCCCACGGAAACGGAGTACCAGTCCAATGATACTCGCCTACACGTATGAAAGACAGCCACATGCCATCGAGTCGAAACAACACTAGAACACGTGAATTAAACAAGAGGGGTCGAATCTGTAAACTTTTGAAATTCATTACTTTATACAGTACATTTTGGAAATCGCTCGAACCCGGTGTATCAAATTCAATCGATGACTCCGTCAGTAATACATCCGTGACTAGCATCACTTACCAATCTTCCGTATTTGGCCAATGTACCCTTCTTATATTTTAGCTCAGGAGCCACAAATTCCTTCCTCCGTCTCTCTAATTCTGGCTCTCCACCCTCAACCTCAAGATCCAATACTCGGCTTTCGGCATCAATGACAATGGTATCACCATCTCTGACTAACCCAATTGGACCTCCAACTTGAGCTTCAGGAACAATGTGACCAATTAGAAAACCGTGAGATCCACCAGAGAAACGACCATCAGTGATCAATGCAACATCTTGACCGAGACCAGCTCCCATAATTGCTGAAGATGGCTTCAACATTTCTGGCATGCCTGGTCCACCCTTTGGTCCTTCGTATCGGATGACAACGACGGTCTTCTCGCCCTTCTTGATTTCACCTTTCTCAAGAGCCACAATGAAGTGGTCCTCGTCATCGTAACATTTTGCTTTTCCTACAAAGCGAAGACCCTCCTTTCCTGTGATCTTCCCAACAGAACCACCTGGGGCCAGGGAACCACGGAGGATTTGAATGTGTCCAGTTTCTTTGATTGGATTGGAAAATGGTCGAATGATGGTTTGGTCTGAGGGGAAATCTGGGACGGTTTCTAGATTCTTGGCCAGAGTCTGACCAGTGACAGTCATTCCTGAACCATCAATCACCCCCTCTTTCAAAAGGAACTTGAGAAGAGAAGGTGTACCTCCAATGTTGAAGAGATCCGCCATCACATACTTGCCAGATGGCTTGAGGTCAGCGAGGAATGGAGTACGATCAGAGACGGCCTGGAAGTCATCAACAGTAAGTTTGATACCGACGGCATCAGCCATGGCAATCAGATGAAGTACGGCATTGGTAGAACCTCCGGTGATATTGACGACGATCATGGCATTTTCAAAAGCCTGTCGAGTCATAATATCACGAGGTCGAATATCCTCTTGCAAGAGTTTTTTGATAGCTCCGCCAGCGGCAAGACACTCGAGGTATTTTGCTTTTGATTGAGCAGGGTTTGATGAGGATCCAGGAAGACTCATTCCTATTACTTCTATCGCTGTGGCCATAGTGTTTGCGGTATACATACCACCACAAGCCCCCTCGCCTGGGCAAGCGTGACGGATTACGTCGAAACGAGTCTCTTCTGAGATTTCTCCCGTGATGAATTGACCATAGGCCTGGAAAGCCGAGACGATATCAATATCGGCATTTCCCTGGGTTTTTGAGCATCCTGGTTTGATACTTCCCCCGTAAACCATAAGCGAAGGTCGGTTAACACGGCCCATAGCAATCAACACACCGGGCATGTTCTTGTCGCATCCTGGGATGGAGATGTTGGCATCATACCACTGACCTCCCATGACCGTCTCGATGCTATCGGCAATCAAGTCTCTGGATTGTAGACTATATCGCATTCCCTTGGTCCCCATCGACATCCCATCGGATACACCAATCGTATTGAATTGATATCCAATCAGCCCCGCTTTTTCCACACCTTCCTTGACTCGATGGTTGAGGTCCAAAAGATGCATGTTGCATGGGTTTCCGGTATACCAGACGGAAGATATGCCTACTTGCGCCTTATTTAATCCTTCTTCGGTCATGCCAGTGGCATATAACATGGCTTGCGAAGCTCCTTGTGATTTCGGCTGGGTGATAGTGGCCGAGACCTTGTTGAGTCTGGGTTCGTCATTCTGGGAGGTTCTGAAGGAGGACGTCGAGGAGATGGAGCGTCTGAAATATGTTAGTAAGTCAATTGATATATTTTTGGATCAAGCAGAAGGGGACTTACATATATCGTGAAGTTCGTGTTGCCGTGTGTAAAGAAAGATTCGCCCGGGTCTGCATCAAGCGTGGAAACAGCATGATCGTAAGTGCCGTTGCCAATTGGCAGCGTTTGAGCAGCGATTGGAATCAATGGACGCCTGCGTGCCTCAGAAATGGATTGCCTTAGCGCAAGCCTAGGCCACCGCTCGTATAGCTATTTGGAGTGTTTTGGGCGGAATGAGCAATCCTCTGGCGAGCCTGGGAACTTTTTTGTCCACAGGAACACTTTCGGGGCGGCATCGGAGGGGCCATAAAAACCGGGGTTGTTCCGGATGACGCCACAGTGGCTGCCACCACCAGCCACCACCACACTTCCTGGCCTGGCGTGCCTGGTACGTGGGTACCTGTATGTTGATACAGGGATTCCCCGCTGTCGGATTTGGTAATACTACGAGTACTGAGTACGGATTTGGAAAGTGGAAATCATTACCGGAATCCCGACGTGATGGAAGTTGGCGGGAGCGGAAGCAGGAGCAGGAGCAGGATCAGGAGCTTCCTGCCTGCCAATCACCCCCAAGACCCTCACATGCGAGTGCAGGTGGCATGTTTACTCGTATGGGATGCTGCCCTGCGAATAAAAGATCGTCCCGAGGCTTAGGGTGAGGCAGGCACGCAGGTGAAGAGGGGAAATGGAATCAACGGAAAGAGCTCCCTTCATCCTCGTCCTCTGTAAGCTTGCACAGAAAGCTGAGATTCGGAAACCGAAAGCAAGCCGAGCCTGAACATTTTATCTTCAATCCGGCGTTGAGTACTTGATACCCGTGGACCCTTACAAGTACATATTAGTAAACTTCTATCACCTCATACTTGGTACCCCTCTTCCTCCCTCCTTCAACCACCATCTGCAGAGAATACACAAAACACCACAATGGCTGCTCCTCCAGAAGTCACCATCAAGAACCTAGCGGGTGATTGGGTCATGGCAAGTATCAATACTCCTACTCCATGACATCTCAAAAGCTAACAATCATAGAACAAAACCCTCTCCGATGATCTCGATGAGGTTCTGGCTCTCCAGGGTGTAGGTTGGCTCCTCCGAAGAGCCATTGGCCTCGCAACCGTCACGCTCCATGTCAAACAATACACAGATGACGCCGGTGTCACCCATGTCGACATTGACCAAACAGCTACCGGTGGAATCAAAGGCACTTCGGAGACCCGCACGTTAGATTGGACCTTCCGTCCCCACGAGGATTACTTATTTGGCAAGATTGAGGGGAAAGCAAGATGGGTGACTTTGAGCGAGGCGGGAGATGATTTTCAAAAGCAGGGTTTCCTCGAAACAGACGAGGAGTGTGGTGGCCCGGACGGACAAAGGCATGTCGAGGCCTATGCCAATAACAAGGATAAGAAGTGGGATGCGGATCAGATCTGGGGTTTTGAGATGATTGATGGCGCGAGGTATTATACGAGGAGAGTCGTGGTGAAGAAGACGCATGGCAGCAATAAGATCTTGAAGATAAGATTGGTTTACAATTGGGCTGGGAAGTCGGCATGATGGTAGGAAATGCCTCTGGACTATTTGGTTTTGGTGCTTGAGTCGGGAGTAGCACTTCGTCCTTTTGTACCTTTCATTGTTCAGGGTAAACGGATGTCTTCGTTGTAGAATTATATACCATTCTTTCATAGGAGGTTAGTTTCCTCTGCCGTTCCCCCCTAAGCTCTTCGTTATTCTGTGAAAATCACAAGTGTTGGTCATGATGACGGGGACTGGTCCATGATTTTGTATTTGTTTAAATTTTTTCTGTTCTTTGTATAGCATCCCATTCTCTTCATGCACCAGGTCCAATCATATCAAATCTAAGCATACTTGGGCAACATCATGGGATTCTTAAACACCTCAACTCCAACTTTTACGCCAACAAAATCTTGTCCATCTCATGCAACAGGTGTAACCTCATCCGCAGAAACCGGATAGAGCTTAGCAAGCGAGCAGCTAAGAGTACGCTCCGGATCCGGATGCTTAGCAAGAATACCCTTCAAGTAATCGTTCTTCCAAGTTCGGGTAGCAACGCCAAGTTGGTCATTGCAAGAAGTCCACATATTGTAAGGGTTTTTGTCTTGGGAGATCATATCCAGATAGTTGTAGTTCGTTGGATCCTCATTTTTGTTCCAGTCCTCCCCAATGTAGACCTTCAACATATCCCACAAGCTCTCCTTGGCGTCATTGTCGGTCAAGTGACGGAAGGCCACGGGTCTAGGTCCCTCGTTACGGGTAATCCCATCTTCGGTTTTCGGGATGTAAGAAAGTAGGTCGGTGACCACATCGACTCCGTGGCGGGACCTGAAGGTGGCTTTGAGCTGTCCGTCGGCGTTGTGGAATCGGAAGATGGTGGCCAGTTTCTCGGCGTCCTTTCCAGTGATGAACTTTATGGTGTAGGCATCGCTCATCTCGGTGTTGGGGACGACACGGAGCCAGTTTGGAACGGTGGAGAAATCAGTGTGGTTCTCGGTTTTGGCATAGATCTTGACGGCCTTGATCTCTGCTTGCTCGGGGAAGATTACTGTCTCAAGCTATGCGTTTTCATTCGTTAGTCTCGTTGTAAGTGAGTTAGGATGTGGGGGACAATACGGGTCGAGGAGCAGTATATGTGACTGGCAAGTGCTCGTTGCAGAGACAAGCATGTTTGTATGCATCAAGCTCCTTGCAAAAGTTCTTTTGGAGAACCTCGGGGATCTCAGTGGCTTGAGTGGCGACCTGCGTGACGGCTGTTCCGGGCTTGAAGGCCTCTGGGTAGACCAGGGGAGGATTGGACGGGTTTCCTCGGAAGACAGTGATAGTCTGGGTTTGTGTGGAACTTGGATTTATTTAATGTTAGTCGAGTTGAAAGCACACTGAGCACACATCTGAGATACTCTCCCATGTCTCTTTTTGCGCGCAGACTGGTAGAAGTGGGCGACTTACAGGAGTGGTGGTGGGGTGACGGTCACAGCCAAAACGCTGCTGCAATCACTTGCAATTGAGGCCTTTGCAGGCTTTCCAATATCACCCCATCCAGCGACATAATGGAAACAATCATCCGAGTAATCACATTTATATGTCGAAGATGGGCTCGTCAAGTTTCCCATATCCAAAGGGTTGATGTTGCTGTTCGCTTCGACGAGAAGGCTCGCCCCGAGGGCAGTGAGGGCAGCTGTGACTCTCATTTTGGACGAATTTTGTGAATTTTCTCTGGAAAGGAAATGGAAAAGTTGGGAGTACAGTTCTTAATGAGCGACATGAGTGTGAGCAAGAATTCTTCTTGTGGGAACGCTACTTTTCAGTAGGCTGGAGTGGGTTAGTCGTATCATTTTGATGTGACTCGGTTGAGGGCGATTGCTGTGCTATGGAATTAGTATCGTGATGGATTTTGATCGTTTGAAGTTTTAGTATCCTTGATATGGTATTTTTATCTTGGTTCCGAGGCTAGTGCTTTGGTTGACTGGTTGGCGGCTCTTTAGCTGAATTTAGATTACTGGCGTGACTGGGTGATCTCATTAACATATGCCAAGTTGTGTAGTGCTGTTTTTTTCTCTTCTCGCTAAGATTATTTTTCGATGACAAAATTCAAAAAACCTCATCGGGCAAGCATTCGCTTGGGTGATTGAAGTCGTATTTATGAAGAGAGGAGGGTAATTTCATCCTTTTAGGATAATTGATTCCTCAATGGCCCCAAGTCAAGAAGGCATCTTAGTAGGCACTTGAAAATTAGAGATGACCCTTTTCCGGTAGACTGCCATATATTCACAATTTGCAAGGGTTTTCTCTCACACCTATTTATTTAGATTACACCCACTGTCTGGTATCAATACACGTTGTGCAACCAAGACTGAACGAATTGACATGGTGCTTTGCAGTTCATAATTAAGCGAGTTCACTGAGCAACCTCGAACCAATCTGTCCGAGCAGGCAAGCCACAAATATTCCCTGGTACAAGTACTCAGCATACTCCACCTTGTGTGCACGTCTGAACTGGAGCTTTATTTTCTAACGAAAGACATATGCAATTACATTACAATGATTACAATGAACAAGCGATCGCCGCAGCAATGTATAATAATTAAGTGCAAAAATACTCAGAGGGCCAATCTGAAACTGCTACGGAATCCGTTCCCTTGTGAAAGCTTGTTTTTAGTACCTCAAACCTTTGGTGGCCTTGCCATCCAGGTCCAATGAGACTTTGGATCCTTTATGATCGCCTGCATATCGGCAATATCGTTATTATTACCAGGGCCCATCTCCTTATTAACCCCTCTGTTTATCATGCCCGTCTCCAAAGATTTTATAGCAAATGCTCTCGCCTTTTCCGCATCACCAACACCATTGTAAGCCAGAGCCGCAAAAACATAACTGATTGGTCTCGATGCCCATAGATGTTCTTCTTCATAGAGCTCTATCAACCACTCAGCCATGGCTATAGTAGCATAGGAGCTGGCACTCCAATCCGCCAAACCATCGTGAATATATCGAATTTGTTGAATTCTGAAATCGGAGATTTGGATCTTCCCTTGGGACGCACTGCACAAATCACACGTACATTTGAATCCCCAGACGTCAAGGAGGTGTTCTTGTCGTTCTTTATGTAGCCGAAGGAGACTGATGTAGTTGATTGTGAGCTCCTCTCCCGGGAGAATGGTGCGTGCGGCATGGGTTGATTTTATCAATGTGTTTGGATCAAAGAAATACATCCCATTTGGTCTACAGTCATGGTTCATAAACTAACAATTGATTAGCGCATGATTTTGGCCGTAAAATATGAGCTTACAGCAGTTTGAGGGAAAACCATGAAATGCTCCAAGCCTGCAAATTCTCCATGAAATGAGTTCGTGTGGATCCTTTCCGTGATTTCATCTTCCTTTCCTCCGTGCATAGCTGCCATCTTCATGAATGCTTCCTGAGTCTCAGAGGGCAAGCTCTTGAATGCAGCATTTATGTACTGATATTTTAGAGCCTTGTCGTGGGGAAATGCATCGCTTTGGAAGATTCCAACTGGGGTCTCAGCCACTATCACTTCCCCGAGCTCTATCTGTCTTGTAGCATAAAGTCCATTTCCTCGACCAGGCACATTTCGAACTTCATAAGGTGGGTTGCTAAAGTTGTTTACATGTGGTGGAAACTTCTGGGCAAAGTAAGGTTCGTTGGCCAGAGTTCGTTCGACATCTGGAGAGGTGAGAAAGGTTATCCCCCGGCCATTGGCGTGATTCTTGTGGGTGTAAACGCAGTATGTTTGGTTGCTGCTGGTCTGGGGCATGCAAATTGGCTTTTGGGTCCAGGGATTGTGAACCTTTGACTCGAACTGTTTGTTGGAGGAACCGCAGACACCTTGATTGTCCTCCAAAATTGCCTGAGTGCGCTCTAGAAGGGTACCCTTCTCTCCTAACTTGCAGATGTTGTCGAGGGGAGTCCGAGGAAAGACTTGACTAGCCTGTGTAAAGCCAGAAAACAGCAACAGCCTTGTTCCTAGGAAGTGCATGTTGAAACTGGTTCAATGTTGTGAATGAATAAGAAGATGTCGTTTTGAAGAGGTCATGGGGGCGAGCTTGCTTTTGAAGCAATTGACCCTGGTGTGGGCATTGTTTCAACTTTGTCTGATGCTGTCGCTTTGACGAGTAAATACCAACCATGTCAAGCGGCGAAACACCATCACAAGGACACTCAGATGCTAGTGGTCGGACGGCACATGGCCAGACCTCTTCAAATATATTTGAGGCCATACCAAGCACAAAGCAAAGAGTAGTTCTATTTCTAGAGAAGGCGCGAATTGAGATATTGTTGTTTTTGGGAGGAAAGAAATCTTTGGCCGCTCAGCTCAACTTCGAGTTATAAGAAACCCCTTTACAGAGTATTATTTGGGTTGAACGAAATATCCAAACAAACCGGAGACACAAAATAAAACAACTAAGCTTAAAATTAAGCTTATTCAACCATCCTAGTAATCCTTTCGATGTTTTTCATTTAATGAGAGCTCAAATATGAAGATTCAGGAAAAGGGAGAGTGTGTACAACCTGACCAACATATTAAAAAAGCGCCCCTACTTTTCATTTTCATGTAAATACTCAGTTAAATTAAAAACTCTAACAAAGAGAGATTAACACAATTTTCAAAATACCCGATCAAGATCCATGGCAACGACATACCTGGCCTCCTCTGAGAAGAAAGAAAAGATACGATGTGGGAGTATTGGCATTTCAGTTCGTACAGATATGTCACCTCTTTACCAAGAAGCCCCGTGAGAACAGCAAATTCTCCGGGCACTTATTTCCAGATACTGGTAGGGAGCATACCCTGTCAAGATTTCGCCCAGAGGAACACAAGATATGTACCTGACCAAGAAAAATGCCTCTAAAACAGGATGTTTGTTGTTCGCCCCATGGGGCATCCAATATCGTCATGTTTGCAGCCCCAAATAGTACAATAAAACACTCTCTTTCCATAACTTCCCCTCTTGATATCCCTGCCCCTGAAATTCCAGGGAACGACATTCGCCACCCAAAGGATGTAAATCTCGGGAAAACACAATAATATAATTGAGCAAGAGAACAAGAGGAAAAAAAAAAGATGGAACATCAAATCTCAAGCTTGAAGATATCAATCACTTTAATCCTCAACTACCCCGTTAAATCAAGAGGAACAAGGAAGTGTTGATATAATAATACCACCCTTTCAAGTAAGCGAGATACTCAAATTGGATCTTTTGGGGGTTGTTCGTAGGGAGAACAGAGATGCATGTTTTTCAAGTCAATGTCTGACCTTCTTTCTGAAAGCCTGCAAATAATTGGCTTTTCGAACAATATCTAGCGCAAAAATGGCGGATAACTTTGATTCCGCTTGAAGAACTTTAGGAAAACTCTCAAATTCAGTTTCAAAGAAAACCAATACTCAACTGAGACACACGATCTGACATATGAAGCCCCCTTCCCTAACGTGTTTGAATCCCCAGGGCCTTTAAATCTTCCGCTTTGAATTTATTTAGGCCCGTGTAGACAGAATATGCAAAAAGAACCCATCTCACGTACTAAGAAGTAGCATAGATGATATGCGGGAATAAATGTCATTGATATCACCGCGAAGGACATCCCCTTGGTCTTGAGACTACAAAGTATCCTGTAGGTTCCAGGTTCCATCCCCTCATGGGCATTAAAGAGGAGCTAGAATTGTCCAATAACTAGCATATGATGTTGGATCTACTGTATGTAGACGTTACAAACCACACTACGACTTCTACGCTACAAACATCTCAAACGACCATCACTGGCATGTAGTAACCTCAACATGTACTTACAAGCCTAAAAGAATGCCGAGTAGATGGTTATCAGAACACGGCGAGGACAACTTATTTCCCGAGTTTATTTCCTCGAGGGAACATTCAAGTACAGCCATCATCAAAGAGGCAATTGAACATTGCTGACGTTCCAACTTAAAAGTTCGCAGTAACAAGTTCTTCAGTCCCAAAAGCTAGAGCAGAATCTTGGGGAAGGAATAGTAGCGTTGCATATAACAATGATATGCCAATCGTCACAAGTGGACGTGGAAAATGTGGGATCCGGTGAAAAGAGAAAGAGGGATACAAATTGAATTAGGAACACCCAAACAAATGAACGCACCAAATGGTTAGTTAGCAGACAGAAGAAGGTAAAGTCCAAACTGCATAGCACAGGCTCAATCCATCTTGGTTACAACCAATAATAATCAGATCGGTCTGGCAAGTTGAGACGGATAAAAGTTTAATAGCATCAAGCTAAGAAACGTTAGCCCAACGCCACTTTCGAGTACTTGCTACAGGAAGCCCCGTTAGCAAAAGTCATGCTGAACGCTATGAACACGCCCCAGCAAATTCTTTTGATGATATTCTAATCTTACAGTACAGTATTGCCAACAGGTATGAAGATGAACCGCAAACCTGCCCCGTTGTCTAGTGTTCACACGGTACTCCAAACTCGAGGGTCGCCACATGGTTGGCGCACCCTTTTAATCTGAGGACATGCTTCCCCGAGTCTCACGACTTGAACATTAAGCTGTGAAAAAAGCGTGCGTTACCACCAGGATGGAGACTAACATGCACTTTCCCGTTCGGCTAGAAGTGACGAGCTGGAGTTCGGTGGAGGCATTTTTCCGGTGGCAAGCAGTCTTCATTCCCATATGGAAATCCCATGCAGATGTTCCACTCCCGCGTGTAAAGTGGTGTGGCGATTGGTTTCTTGACATAGAATTCAGCATGGACTGACATGTCTGCTTCGGGAGACCGGATTGGCGAAGAACAACATTTAGGAATAAAGAAGCTCAGGCACGTCCGAAACCTCGGTTTCCTCAGATGTTTTCCTCAAACGCCCACTGTCAAAATTTGACAGCTGTCGTTCACCCAGGTACCAGGAGAGCTAGAAACCCCAGGATCACGGCTGTGTAAAACCATACGCCCGGGGGGTGCACGACATCGAAATTCAGCTTCCTAAGTTCCTGGAAGTCAGTAACAGTACAACCTCGGTTTCCTCAGATGTTTTCCTCAAACGCCCACTGTCAAAATTTGACAGCTGTCGTTCACCCAGGTACCAGGAGAGCTAGAAACCCCAGGATCACGGCTGTGTAAAACCATACGCCCGGGGGGTGCACGACATCGAAATTCAGCTTCCTAAGTTCCTGGAAGTCAGTAACAGTACAACCTCGCGGATGGCCTCATCCCAAAGTCCGGAACACCATGATCCTAGTGAGGAGTTTTCTTCGTCGCGTAGCAATGGACATGCAAGCTCCCAGAATGTACAGAGACTTTTGTGTTTCTGGAAATGTGTGGGGAGGGGAGACTTGAGGGCCCAGTGATTCGTTTGCAGACCAGAGAATTCCCAGGTGGCTTGTATGAGATGTAGCTTTCCACGAGCTTTCTGCATGTACACAGCGTGCTGCATCAACGAGTCAACGGCCTCAATGCTGAATCTTGCGTCCTCGGTGGTACAGTCACAACAGTTTTGTTTAATTTCGTATACCGATACAGCGATCAGCGTTATCTTGTTCTCATGATTCTGGTGATCAAGGCGCACCGGTTAGACGACGTGACGCAAAGTCGGCGACCTGAATGATATTTGATTTGGCGTCTCTTTCCCCTTTCGACCCAGGAACCTCGTTGCTTAACAGCATTAGGAGTCTCGTCAAAATCTGGTTGACGGGCTCTTTCCTTCCGCTGCCTAGCTAATAATGCTCTGCTGGATCAATAAGCGAGTGGAAGTGGGTGTCACGGGTGTGTAGTCCCAATGGCGGATTGGACGCCACCCTGTTGATCGTGCCGCCACCGAGGCATGGAACTCGAGATCTTTTCGTTCTCTGTAGAGCCCGGCAGGTTGGATGTGTAAAGTTCCCAACGGCGAATTACATCAAGTGACCGAATCCCAGAAAGTGCAAAATACATGTAGGAAGCCGTTTGGGTGGGCGCCGACGGAAAGTCGTACAGTTTGTGCATGGCGTCCCAAATAAATGGAGGACCGAAAAGCATCCCGTTCCAACTCCATGGGAGAATGATGGTGTCACGAAACCAAAGTATGGAGTAGCGTGTGCACACCCAGCTTTACCATATCACGAGTCTTCCGTGCAGATGCTACTGTGGCGGTTCCATGATATAAATTGCTCCTCTGGCACGTGTCCTACCCTCCCCTGTAACCCTCCTTAGGCCGTGTCGCGGAGCTAAGACACGGCCTAAGAAAGGCTAAAACCCCTGTCTAGGACACCCGATTAAGTAATACCCTAGTTTAGTACTAGTAGAGATAAGGGAAGGTATAATAACTTATAGTTTAATTACTTAGTACTTATTATAATATATAGTAAACTAAATAACTACTTATAGTTATTAATATATTATTTATAATTATATAAAACTATATTTATAAATTTAAGGTTAAGTCTTTACATTAGTACTACTACCTATAGTCTAAGGTTAAGTCTTTACCTTAGTACTACTATCTATAGTCTAATGTTAAGTCTTTATCTAAGGACTAGCTAGCTAAGATTAAGTCTTTATCTTAGAACTAGCTAGCTAAGGTTAAGTTTTTACCTTAGAATATAACTTAAATTTACCTTATTATAGAAAATAGCGAGAAGCTTTTCTTTCTCTACCTATATATTAATATTTACAAATATAAATTCTATATTCTCTAATAGAGTCTAGTACTTAGTATATAAAGAATCCTCCCTTTTATAAATATAAATTCTATATTCTTTAATAGAGTCTAGTACTTAGTTTACGAATATAAATTCTATATTCTCTAATAGCGTCTTATTCTTAGTATATAAAGAATCCCCCCTTCTATCTACGAATAGAAATTCTATATCCTCTAATAGTATCTTATTCTTAGTATATAAAGAATCCTCCCTTCTATAAATATAAATTCTATATTCTCTAATATTAATCTCAAGGTTACTATAATTACTAGATATTAGAAATAGTAATAAAACGCTACTAAAAAAGTACTAATAAATATTAATTATTATAGTATTATATAATTATTTATTATTAAGTTCTAAAATTATATTATAATTAGTAAGAAGTACTTAAACAATCTAAGTAACTAACTAACTAACTAACTATAAAGGTTACTATAATAGGGTTTAACTTACTAAGTTTTATATCCTTATTAGTATAAGATTTAATATTACTAGCCTTATCGTTTACTTTAGCCTCGACTACTCTCCCCTCGAAGTAGAGTTATTACTAGTACTAGTAGACAAAAAGTTAATAGTACCTACTAGAGCGTTTTCTAATTATATATAAATCCCTTAGGTAAAAGAATAACTAGGATAATATATAGTTATAAGAGTACTAATAAACTTAAAAAGGTTAATTTTC